ATGACTGCAAAGGTGAGCTGATGGAATCCAGGAGGCCAAGGGTGGGAGGCTGAACTTGATCTGCAGTCAGGGTGTCCTACTTGCATGGAGGATAGTGCTTTGTTTGAAAGGCTGCCAGAAGATGGTTCTCTGGGTTGCCTGGTCCAGAGCTGGTTTGCACGTAAGAATGCAGTCTGTCAGTCTTTGGACCTCAAGGGGCCTGGGGCCAGCCAGGTAGATCACTTGGGAAAAGGGCCAGAGGCATTGCTGTGCTTCTCTTTCACATGCTACTTCTGTCTGCGAACAGGCAGATTGGGTGAACAGGGATGTCACTGCTAGAGTTGGAGCCAGTGTAGCCTAGTGGTTAGAGTTTGGCCTTGGCTTAGGGAGACCCTGGTTCTAGCCCTCAATTGGCCCTGAAGTTCACTGGCTGACTTTGGGCCAAAGAAATGACGAAGAGGTAGCTTGTGTGCCCCCCTCCCCGAGTCCTTGGAGGAAAAGGAAGGAGATAATATTCACATCAGCATCATCCGGAGTCATAAACAGTGTTGTGCGCCAACAGCCAGCACCTGAGATCACTGTTTTTCTATTTAAATGACAATTATTTCTAAATTGATGTCAGAAGGCCTTAAATTAGCACATGCAAATATTATGTAAATGGCTGCCTTTTTTGGGGCGGGGTGCATTTCTCTTCTTTTGGCAATTCAGAAATGGCAACTCTTCCCCTGCAAATCCCTCCCCACAATCAAGAAGTTGGGAAAAGCTAAATAAATAGCAACAGCAGAAGAATATCTAGAAAGATGCATGATTCGATAGGCCTTGGGTGTCCCTTGATGCAGAATCTTTATTTCTACGCATACCATAGGCCTCAGCTTGAATTCATCTCATTTCTGGATTTGCTCAGACATGCCTTTATGGGCAAGGGGATCTGCATCTCTTTGCCCCCGTTTCTGATGTGATGAAACAGCTGCGTTTCCATTGTTCAGTGCTCCACATTGCCATCAATGAACAGCACACAGCCATGTTGCACCCGGGTCAAAAGACGTTTGGTTTACCATTTGCCCTGAGCCTCTGGAAACTTCAGTGGGGGTCTGGTTTTCCCAGCTGACTGTGAACAAGCCTTCTGCCCCATGGCAGAGGCAAGAACATCTGCAAAAATCAACCAGAAAGAGGCTGCTCAGTATTTAAGTTTTGGGGATGGACATTTCTCCCTGTCCCCTTCCCAGAATCGACTTGGTTTTTCAGTGCCTTCACCTTGGGAAGTCCAGCTTTTGCCAGCTGCCTTAAATTTCCTTCCTAGTATTCCTCCACTCCTGTCACGCCCCGCCCCTGCTTTTCAGCTAGTGCCAAGGACTTTTCCTTATCTCTGCGCCCTGACTCAGAAACCTGGTTACACACACCCGGGGACGGGGAGTGGCCAAAGGAGAAGCCAGAAGAAGTTCAGGGACATGCCTGATGGAACATCTGTGCTTTACAAAAGTCATGTGTTTGATTACCTATCTGTTTGCTGTGGTGAAGGCTGGAACATCAGAAATGTGTGGCGGGGAGGGCCAGCTTTTGCAGGGATGAGGCATTTGGGGGACCTCCGGCTGATTAGAATTTCATAGAACAAGGATCTCTGCTTGGTTTTGTGTGTCTGTGGCTTTGCAGCTTTGACTTTCCCTCATTCTTTACATATGGAGCAGTTGCAAAAGCAGCTGCAGAAGAGCAAAACAAGTCTAGCCCATAAATCATCTCTGTTAAGACAAGGCCAAACTCGTGACCCTCCGAAAATGAGGGTTCTGGATGCAGTTTTGATTGCAAAACCTAAGCGTAGCTGTTGGATTTATTTCACTTGTGTTTTATTTTGCAAATTTCATAGTTTCAGGTAGAAATCTGGCAATTACATGTCGAGGTGTGAATGCTTGGGGGAAGTACTGGAAAATGTCTGGGGAGAAATGTATTTTGTTTCACCAGATGTACAACCAACCAAGCAAACAAATCCACCCTCAAAATCTCCTCCTACATTCTGTTTCCCTCCAAGCCCATTTTCTTTTCCCTCCAGCGCATCCCAGACCAGACCAACCCCTTTCTCAAAGCTGATGTAAAATGTGCGCACCACTTCATCAGACATATTTCAGAGTCTGTGATTCTGATGGCTCTGAGGGTGACTCGGGAAACTGGGCCATGGAAAACCCTTTGCAGAAATAGCCACTGAAATCGAATTCCTGCGTGAGAGGCTATTAATGTGTTGTGAATTTACCACATTGAGAATCATTTCCTGATCTCCTAAGGGTCTACTGAAGTTGAACATGCCTTGGCTTCTTTAGGCAGTTTGGCAGGAGAAGGACACCTAACTGCCCAACCTGAGAAGGTTTTTTAAAAAAAGATGATGATGATGATGATCTTTTATCCTGCCCATAGCCAAGGCTCTTTGGGCAGTTTACAACAACATAATAGAATCATACACTCAAGTCACTCATCCCAGTTCTGACCAGGCCTGACTCTGCTTAGCTTCCAAGATTCCAAGATAAGGCATTTCAGGAGGGAATACAGAGTGTGACTCCAGAGAAGCTCTTAAGTCAATAGACCTTCAGTCCTTAACAGAAGACTAACAATGAAAGGCCATCCCATTGTTCAGGTTGATTAAGTCACTGCAAACTTGTAATGGTGTCATGCAAATCTAACTTGTGGCTTCAAAGGGTTAGGATTTCCTTGCCCCCCCAGGGGCTTAGCCTCACCTGTTAAATTGAGACTTACTTGATTAACTTTGGTATGGTGTTACTGTTGTTGGATCCAATCTCCATCTGGAACCTCCCCTCTCCTCAGGGATTGCATAAGGTTTGCTGCTGTTGATTTACTCAAGAAGGTTATCTCTCTTAGCCTTTGAAAGCTCTTGGCATGTGGAAACAGATAGTCTTCAAGGACCACAAGTCTCCACTGTTCTCATTGTTAGGACTGACTGGGCAGAGAAGAATCAACCAGCTTTTGTAGCAGTTCACTCCTCACCACTTCCTCTCCTTTTGGGAAGGGGATAATTTAAGGACACAGATCAAGAGCCCGTCAAGCCATTGTTCTGTTCCCTTGCTGGCTGACCAAATGCCCCAGTGGGAAACCAACAGGCAGGGCATGGACGCAATCCCTGCTTGTGTTCTCCTGCAGCTGGTATTCAGAGTCATGTTACTTCTGATGTGGATGTTGAAGGAGATCTCTCCTTCATGACCTGTGAGATTTTGTGTTTTGTGCCTCCTCGTTCCAAATGGGTAAGCACCCAAGTAGGCTGGCTGTACGGACAGCAGAGCAGCAAATGTGATTCAGTGAAGGGAAATACCAAATGATGTGCAGTGTGTCAGAACAAACAAACAGAAAACCCAAGCTTCACCTGTACAGGGATGGAGTCTGATCTGGCAGAGACAAACCAGGAAAGATCTTGGGGTCTGGGCGGGTTGCTCAGTGAAAACACCCAAGTTTTGCTGCATTTCGGCAGCAAATTCTGTGCCAGGGATATTTAGAAAAGCCCTTGGAAAAAGTGCTGCTGGTAGCGTTACGCCTTTGTGTAAATCTTGCATCCTGCTACATTTGGAAGACTGAGTAATTCTGGTCTTGGATCCCCTTTCCAGCCAATAGGCAGAGGTGGAAAGGGGGCAGAAAGCAGTTCCAAAAGTCCTGATGGGGTCAGAACTCCTCCAATATGACTAAGGGGAAAGCAACATTCCAAATTTGAGTCTTCCAGATGTGTTGGACGGCAATTCCCATGGCTGGGAATGACGGGAGTTGTGGTACCACACATCTGGAGGGATCTAGCTTGAGGAAGGCTGCGCTGAGGAAAGGAAGACGATGGGATCAGAGAGGTCTTTGGACAGAGTGAAGAACATGGAGAGAACATTTGCCCGTCGCGCTAGAACAAAGGCGATGAACTTGAGGCCTCTGGGCTGAATTTGCCCCACCTAACGGCCTTGCCTCCTCCTCCTGCCCCGTGCCTATTCCCCAAACCACTGACCTTTCGGTGGTCTTCCCCCGCTCCCCAATTTTAAGAGTTTGGATTGGCTCTGGAGAATATGAAGCTAACGTTCACTGGTTTGAGGAGCTCCTCCTGAGGCCAGCATAGGCCCAGCACATCTCTGAATACGATTTGCTGGGGAGCTTGTGGCTCGCAGACGGTCAGAGGCATCTGGCTGGCCGCTGTGGGAAGCCGGATGTTGGACCTAACGGCCCTGTGGCCTGATCCACCAGAGCTCTTACATTCTTCGAGATCAAATTAACTTCCTGTATTGAGCAAAGGAGAGCCAAAGGCCTTGTTCCAAACCACCCGTCGGACTGGGTGCAGTTAAGAACGAGACGCTGAACGTGATCCAGGCACCACAGTCTGAGATTTCATAAAGTTTCATACCTCTCAGGGGCCCCGAACGGGTCAACCACCGTCTGCAGCTCAGGATGGTTGCGGGAGCAGAGCAACTGGCAGGCGAGAGCCTGTCTGGCTGCAGCAAAAACCCTTTGGTTGCTCCCGTGGCCTGAGGACCCAGGGGCGAGCGCAGGGGCAGATCGGCCCGCACAGCTCTTTTTGCCCTCTGCTCCTGGGAGTGAAGAGCCCTTATTTGTGAGTGACGCTGCCGTGGGGGCTGCCCCTTGTGTCCGTGCCCCCCCCCCCCGTTGTGCCGGCCTGCGTGGCTCCCACGTGGCCACTCGGGCGAGCTCCAGGCCTTGGCTAACCTCTCTCAGCATCCCTAGGGCTGGGAAAGACCTCGCTGCCAGTTGGGCCAGTGGTCTGAATCACTTCCCGTTTCCCTCTGCTTTCATCATCTCTGAGTCCTGGAGAACATGCCTGGCAAGAAACTGCCAATACTTCAGGGACCTTTGTCCTGAAACCTGGAAGAGCAAAGTCTCCTTGCAATTAGATAAATCACCGGGTTGTCCGGCTTGTCTCCATAGCATCTCGCCTCTGATCCTGTAACGCCGGTGATCTGCCAGATGCTCTTTTTACCGGCTAGCTGAAAAAACACACCTTTGGACTTATTTCTTCTTCTTTTCCCTTTCCCTTCCAGCTGCGTAAATGAGTATGGAAGATTATGACTTTCTTTTCAAAATAGTTTTAATTGGGAATGCTGGCGTGGGGAAGACCTGCTTAGTCCGACGGTTCACTCAGGTAAGGAGTTCTTTTTGTTGCGGCAGATCTTGGCCTTGGTGTTCGTCTTTCTTATTTCATTCATCTGTGCATTCACTCATAGGAACATGGGCAAGAGCCTCCTATTGAGCCGTGGGTCCCTCCAGCCCAGTGCGCACCTGGCACCTGCTTTGCACGTGGGTTTTCCATCTCTGCCTGGAGATGCCCAGGGTGGAACTTGGGTCCTTCTGTGCTTGCTGTCTGAGAGGGACAACCCCGCACTGCTGTTCGTCAGATGCTTCTGGCATCTAATAAAAACAGGACAGGGTGTGATGCGCATGCACCGGATCCACATGTGTGGCATTGTTCACGAGGGAGCTGGGGCTCAAGAGCATCTGAGCCATCTTCCGGTAGGAGGTGGTGCTGTGGCACATGCCGTGTTGCTCAGGGCAACAAGAAGGCTTCAGCTGGAGAAGCCAGAGGTTGGGTGAAGCAACCGGCACAGTGGGCCAGTTCAGATGAAACCAGAGTGCCATTGGATACTCATGTTCTCTGTTAAATCTAATCAGCTGGGCAGTGCCAAACCCATGCACTTAGCAAGGGAATCAAGACTGAAGCTCGGCAGCCCTCCACAAGTTACGTGGAAGTCAGTCTCAGCTAACTGAAAGCAACTGACTTCCCGGTGAGCTGGCTTGGGAACACGACGCACTGACAGAGCTGCACAAGCCGCAATCTTCCATTCCTGGCATCTCTGGTTAAGAAGGGTAGATAATTGGGGAGATCTGGAGAGAGGCTCTCCATCAGGTGAACAGACAGGCTGCCTCGAGGGAAGGTGGAAGTCCCAGGAGAATTCTGGTACCACTTTGCCGAGCTTTCTGTCCCGCTCGCTCTTGTGCTTGCTGGTCGACAACCTGCCGAGGTGTTGTGTCATCAAGCCCCTTTACTTCGCATGGAAGCACCACCCTAATGGTGGAGCAACCGCTCATTTTCTCCTAGGGTTCCTTTGCAATTGTGGGGTGGATGAGCTGGGCAGCAAGCGTCGCTTCTTGCTGGTGGCCAAGCGATGCGTGAATGATCCCTTCCCACCAACAGTGGTGTCCTGCACCTGGGCTGTTCTATTTATTTCTTCCCCTAGTAAAACTAGGGAGAATTTGGGGGTGTATCCAGTGGTAATATAGATTAAAACGATGTGCGAAATTAAAGCAATATTAAAACCAGTAGCTCCTAAAATACCTGATTGAATTAAAATGTCTTTACCTGGCGCCAAAAAGTGAGCAGCACCCCCGCCAGGCAAACTTCCTTGGGGAGGGTGTTCCATAAACAAGGTGCAATCACAGAGAAGGCCCTGCTGCTAGCCATTTCCCCCTCACGTCACTGGGGAATAGTTCACGGAGAAGGGTGCCCACCCAAGATCTTACTGATCAGGAAGGGCTACATGGAGAAAGACCTTCCCTCAGGTTAGTTAAATCATGGTTTGTCCTTAGGCATTGAGTTCGAGTCAATCAATATCCATATGGAAAAGGATATTGTAAAGGGAGAAGCGGTCCAGAAAAGGTTATTACATGCGTATACCTCCCCATAGGGCTCACTGAGCATTTTATATGTATACCACCCATAGCCAAAACTCTCTGGGTGTTTCACAACATTTAGTTACCCATCCTGATTTCAGTCACGTCTGACTCTGCTTAGCTTCCAAGCTTAGGCAGAACCAGGCACTTTAGGCTATATGGAAGCTGTGTTGGCCAGAAATATTGTGTGGCTGGAACAACCCTGCTACCAAGAAAAGTTGCATTATTAGGGAAAAATGAGTAAGAGGAGACATGCTATGAAGACAATAGTGAGAGACAGGCATTTTTCTTCCTTTCCTGAAAGCAGAACTTTGGGTCCTCTGAGCCAAACACTGCGTGGAAGATTCAGGACAGACAGAACTTTTCATACAGCATCCCAGAGCTAAACTGTGTAATCCCCTAGCACTAATTTAGATGGTTTCCAGGGGGATTAGACACATTCACGGAGAACATGCAACGGCTGCTGGTCAAGATGGCTGATGCCACGAGTCTTCTGAGTTCCAGTTGCTGGGTGCATAGCAGGAGGACACTCTTACCTGCGTGGTGGACTTCCCAGAGGCCTCTGAGGGGCCTCCGTGGAAACAGGAGGCTGGGCTAGGCAGACCTCGGTCTGATCCTGCAGGGGTCCGTCCCCTCCCTTCAGTGAGTGAGCCCGCACGTTATGCAAGGGCACCATAGGGGAATTTCCTCGTGGGTCCTCTTGCAGCTGTGATGGCCACCATTTGGATTATTCAAGCCACGGGGGCATCCCATAGCTTGTTGTTATGCGAACCTGGCAAAGGAGGGTTCCTGGGGGGCTTGACAAGCCCCCCAGAACCCAGGCTGTCCTTGGTTGCGGGTGCTTAAGCCACCCCAAGAACCCACTCTCAACCACCGCAGCCCCTGCCACGCCTTGAATATTGGGAATGTCTGCCCAAGCCGACAAGAAGGTCTGCAGGGGAATGCCCCCACCCCATGGTGGCTGCTCACTCCATGCAAAGCCCCCCACCGCAGAATCAAAGGGTAGGACCTGTGTTGAATTTGCTGGATGGAAAAGGAGATTGCCTCAAGCGGTTATGTAATGCTCCAGCTGCTTCTGCCAGTTTTAAATATTAAATGGTCAGCGTTTCTTCCTTGTGGAGCTCCTTCTTAAAAATGGCCTTTGGAAAAGTTAAACGTGCTCTTTGCTGACTGCAAGGAGAGTTCTGTGGGTACTGGAGCAAAGTGGACTCTCCTCCCTTGGGGAAAATAAAACTAAACAACTCTGCGACCGGCCGGCCGTTGCTGTTGCTCGTCAGACTTCTCGTGTCTCTGCTGGCGCTCTGTGAAGTGGATGTGACTGAAGTAACGAGACAAACAAGATGTGAAACATGACTAAGACGGCGCTGATGCCCGCTTGTTCTTTTCCTCCTGCGTGAACTTAAAAGTTCTGCTCAGTGTGTTACGGATTGCCCAATCCTTTGGGGAGTTGCAGCTTTGAGAAAACCTCCTGCTGAAAAAATGTGCCTCTTGGCTGGGGCGGGGACACAAATCCTCCTTGCTTGTGTTACAGTTTTTGGGGAAAAGCTGCTCTTTTCTGTATGGGGAGAGCAAAGGCCCACGCATGCTTAAAGCTGTTTTGGCTGGTCCAATGTCGTTGCCTCCAGACGATGGCTTTGCCGACCCCGTTGGACTTGCCCTCCGTGCCAACTGGAATTTGTTCATGGCGGTCCTCCGCCAGGAAACAGAACAGTGGATGAGGGTCAGTGCTACAAGCTGGCTTGAGACAGTTGAGGAAAAGCAGTGTGTGAGAAGGCAAAGGATAGAATCCACAGCCTGTTTGTCAGGAGATCACTGAGAATGATGACATCCCACCTACCGTCTATGGAAGTCAAGGCAGGATAGGTGGTCCCCCCGCCCCGTTCTCCACTTCTGTCTCCAGGAGGTGGCAAGAGTTCATTGAGTGGCTGTGTGGCTGGTGAGGGTTTTGAGCTGGTGGCTTTCGGCCGCAGTTCGACTTTTTGATCCTTGCTTCACATTGGCTCTGTGCTGATAGCTTATCCTCGTGCGTGCAGGCGAACCCAGCATCTAATGCTGTAGTTACTTGGCCTCTGGTTCATCCCCTGCACTGATGTTTATTTTGCAGCTGACTCCAGTTAGTGGAACTTGGAGTTCCAGTAAAAAACAGTCAATGACGCAAGCCTCAAGTTTATCATGCCTACTCTATTCTGTATCACAAGAGAGGAAGGTGCCTGGCTTGTAGGAGCTGCATTGGATTTTTTCCTTAGAAATCTGGGTGCTACCAAAGAGAGTTTGGTGCAAATTGACATACACTCCAAGTTAAAGAGTTCCGAGTCCACAAGTTTGCTCTGAGCACCAGAACCTCAAGGTCCTTCCACAGAAGGTGTTATGGAGGCCTTTGTTGTTCCCATTAATTTCTGACTACTGGGAGTCAGACATCTGTGCTTCGACTCTCTCAGATCTAGCAGCACATCCCAGGTCTACTCCCAGTGAATAATACTTTGGGATGGAGCACTTTTCTAACTTCACACATTAGGTTCCTCCAGTTAGAAGGCAAAGCATTGCCCATAAAACTCTTCCACAGATATGCCAACGTTCAGGACCTTTCGTGGGCCAAGTGTCCCATCAGTAACATTTCATTTGCTTTTCTTCAGGGACTTTTTCCACCAGGCCAAGGAGCCACAATTGGGGTTGACTTTATGATTAAGACAGTGGAGATAAATGGTGAAAAAGTCAAGGTAAGGCCTTGTTGGCTTTTTCTGGCTCGATCATGGTTTTATGTTTGGTATGAAACTTGCAAAGCATACTCTTCTGTTAAATTCCTTGACAACCTGGGGAAATGTCTGATGCTTGTGATGCGAAATACCTCACCTTATGGTTGCCCCGCTTCTGTGGCATGGAACAGCTTGACCTCATAGGAGGTTCATCCAGTCCCGCCTCAACCAGGGCGAACCCTTCAAAATGCCACTTTCCCTCTCCATTGCAAGGCTGGGCAACTCGAGTTCCTCTGGATATTTTGCAATGCAGTTCCCATCATGCCTGCGAGGAGCTTATGGAACCCATATTCCTTCTAAGCAACGAACAGTCGCTTTGTGTAAGAGCTCTTCACTTCCAGTGCACATCTAGCAAAATGTAGCCACTGGAAAGTGATTAATTGAACCTGAACAAGACACTCTTTCTGAGAACCTTCCTTTTTGGTAACCCTGGGTGTGCCCTGTGGAGATGGGTGAGCCTCCCAGATCTATGCTGGCCCTCAAGTTGCCTAGCCCTTCTCTCCTGTTGCCGTGCCGCGGGGTGAGGGATCCGGCCAGGTTCTCCTGGCTCCTCTCCCATGGCCCTCCCTGCACTTCCAAGCCCTGTTGGTTCCCACGGTCTGTCTGAACACCTGGAGACGGTGGCCTTGACATAGCCTCTCCCTCCTCCTCTGTGTCTGCACTCGTCATTTCCCAGCCCAATTCAGTCGTTGTCCATCTTGGCCCGGGGAAGGGCAGCAAGAATAACTGCCTCTTTCGTCCCCAGCAATGCCTCACCATTGGCCGTGCTGGCTAGGGCTGATGGGTTCTGTAGAACAAACCATCTGGAGGGCCATAAGTTGCCTACCCTTGTCCTACCACACCCCCCTTGCCCTCAAGATCAGTCAAGTGGGGGAGAGCAGCTTGAGCTGAGACGGTGAAGGTGCAGATGGGAAAGGCCTGCCTGCCGTGTCTCCTCTGCAAACCTTTCCCGTTTCTGCCGCCTCTGAGCATGTGCCATGGTTGTCCCACAAACCCACACTGTGTAGCTGACTGTGGGGTGGCTTAGCGTGTCGTGCAAACTCACCATTACGGATGGCTGGTGAGAAGGTCAAGTGTATTGTTGGAGGAGGAGCTGTCGCACTTATGGGGTGAAAATACCGAAATTAGCAGGAATGACTCAACCCACGGTCACCCCAGATCCAGCGACCCTCTCAGGCAAGGGGTCTCTGGGGAGCCTCCTGTGAATTTCTCTGTTGGAGAGGCCAAGGGGTTGCTGACCTTGGCTATATGTCATAAAGATTACCCCAAAGTGCCAGTGGCTGAAGGATTTGATTGGAGTTTTGTGAACATGGGATTGCAGAATTACTAATGCAAGTCCTCTGAAATGGGGCTCAGGCGAACAGGCTATGTTAGCCAATAAAAAGTATTCAAAGTGACACTCTAAAGGTATTGCTATTCCCATCATTCCCAGCCAACAGAGCCAGAGAATGATGGGATTTGCAGTCCAACACATCTGGCAGGCACCAGGTGGGAGAGGTTGGTTTGAAGTTTGAAAAGGCCAGGTCATGTTTCAGGAGTAGATTGTGCAGAGTGTGGAATTTACTACTGCCAGGGAGGGCAGCAGATCTTGGGTTCAGATGACTTGAAGAGGGGGTTTCATTCATGAGGAGGGGGGATACACAGGACTGCCAAGGCCATCAGGCGTGATGGTAAGATGGAGGCTCCGAACTGGAAGGACTGTCTGTATTTATGAATTTTGAATGTGGGCCTGGCGTTACCTTCTTGCTCAGCACATGAGCTTATCCATTGCTCAAAACCATTCCTGACTAGATGAATTCTCCTGCAGATCAGCGCCTCTTTCATGGGCAGCTCTGCTAAGAAAGCATCTCTGTTGGGCTCTTCCTGCCCTTCATGTTTGCATTTCAGCTGGTCAAGACAAGAACTTTAAGAGTTGATGCCTGCAAGGATGGGTGGGCCCACCCGGCCCACCCGGCCCACCCGGCCCACCCGGCCCACCCATCTCTGCCCATCTCTGCCCTTCTTTGTGCATGAGGTGCCCTTTTGATCAGGGCTGGGGAACAGCAGCCTCTCCTGAAGTGGTTGGACCTCAGCTTCACCATGCCCCATGTGGCCTGGGACCAGTGGAAAGGTGCAATCCAGACACACCTGGACAGCCACATGTTTCCCACTTGAGACTGTAAGCGTGTGGCCGGGACAGCCTTCTTCATTGTGGATCTCTGGGAGCCATTTCAGCTGAAGAGAGGGATTTTTAAAAGAGGCTGTAAATAAGAAAATCAGCCACATGTTTTTTCTCAGGTTTCCGCCAAGGCTTGGGGGCAGGCTGCAGTTCCGGAGGAAAGAAAGCAGCTGTTTCTTCTCTTTTGCCAGGAACCAAGTAGTTCAGGCTGATTTCTGGATCTTCTATAGAAGCAAAGGGCCGAGGGGAGGTCTGGAGTAATATCCCCCGAGTAAAATGGAAATAATCCCATTGAATAATAAATAATAAACCATGCACTGGGCCATTGAGAGCCTTGCTCTACCTAATAGTAATCGCATGTGGTCCATGCTGCAGGAGGGGAGCCAGAATGCGGCCAGTGAAAGCGAGAAGGGGTATTATTGGCTTGCTTAGGGGAACCTCGTGCTCCACAGAAAAATGACAAGTACTTTTAAAAATAAAATTTATACCAGCTGGAGAATGCTGGGAGTCGTGGGACTTCTTTCTGAATGAGGTGTGACCTTATTCACCTGCCTTTTAACCAGCTAACTGGCGAAGGCCGCCATGCTTTGCGTATTTGTAGGAGGACAGATTCCACTGCATTCCAGATTTGTATCTTGGTAAATGGAGCAGGACTGAGCCACCATCTATCTTTCTCAATTGTCAAAACCCAGATACGGGTGCCGTTTTGAAATCTTGAATGGACTGTAAGTTAAAGGTCAAAAATAACAATGTTTGAAAAAATGTTTTTCTTTTTCTTCTTGTTCCATGTTGGGGCCATGCATTGGGAACAAAAGAATTTGTACATACACATTTTTATTAACTCTTATCCCAATTGGCCAAAAAGGGCTACCTGGTTAAAATTGGCACTGAATGATGCATCAGGTTGGGCTGCCACCTGCGCACACTGACCAATGACTTAAACCCCGTTGTACACTTATTTATTTATATGAAAAGTCCTTCCGGCCCATAGTTCTATTTTAAAACTATCAAAAGCAGATTACAGGAATGAGTTACCCTGTTTAAACAAGCAAACCACACAGACAAAACTCACTTTGGCCGCACAGCAGTAAAAACACTGTAACAATGAAGATAAGGTACACCAGATAAGACTGGATCAAATTCTTTTCTTTTGGTCAAAGCCTTGGAAAATAAAAGGATCTTGACTTGTCATGTGAGGCTGGCAGGGGAGAGAATTCCACAAACGCGGGAGGCAGGCTGGCCGGCCTCACTGTGAAGGTTCCCCTCTTCGGAAGGGGGTAGCCGAGGCTGGACCTTTGAAGTAGACCTGGAAGACAGTGCTTACTTCTGAGTAGCTGTGGACAAGAGCACCCAGTTCAGCTTCTGGTGGTTCCGGCTGCAGCCCGAAACAGACTTATTAGTGAATAAGCCACCCAGGACACAGTGGGGTTTTCTTCAGAGCAGATTTCCTGTTTTAGACTGAGAAATCCTCAAGGGAAAAAAACAAGTAAATATAACAAGAAAATGAATATAGATGTTCGAGCCAGAGCTGGGGAAAGTTCTCCTTCTTCTTCCCCACAAGTAGATTTTATTCCCATGGTTCTAGACAGTCTTCCCAACCAGGTTATGTTAAAAGTGGAACTGGATCCTTATTATCTACCCCAGGCCATGCTAGGAGAGGGGGACGGGAGACCCTACTTCTGTGGTGCTAAACCATGGTTAGGTGTGTTCCAATGAAATTTATTTATGTTCTATTTTCCGATTTGTATCCTGCCTTTTTCCGACAAAGGGCTCAAGGCAGCTTACATCATTCTCCTCCTCCATCTTATCCCCACAACAACAACCCTGTGAGGTAGGTTGGGCTGAGAGTCTGTGACTGGCCCAAAGTCACCCAGTTGGCTCCATGGCTGAGCGGGGACTAGAACCCAGATCCTCTGAGTCCCAGTCCCCTGCTCTTAACCACTACACCACCCTGGCCAAAATGGACTGGACATGGATTCAGAACTGGCACAAAGAAGCATTTCTTCATGCAATATGCCATTGAAAAGCTGCTGAACTGAAACGCTTTGAGATTGGTTTGTGGTGTTCTGCATTCTGACTGCAACCTGCTTAGAGATGGGAGGAGAAAAAGTAGATATAAATTGTAAAGTGAATAGATATCTGGATAGATTTCCCTGCCAGAGGATTGTAGTGGGGTCCACTCGCTAAAAAACCTTGAACAATGGACTAGACATGGAGCAAAGCTACATCTGTGAAAAGCTCTGATGGCTGAATGGAACATGTTGGCAGAGGAGGTTCAGTTCTGTATACCGGCAACATGGGACATATGATGAGCAAGAGTTCTTCCCTCCTACACTCCACCTGCCTGTGTCTAGACCAGGTGAGACTTCGGTCTGGTCTGATCTGATCTAGCAGTGTTCTTCTGATATTCCGAAAATGCGGATGGATTTGTCAGGATGATGTGCATTCCTGAGATGTTTGGTGGCTGAGTTCTCAGGAGGAGAATTAGAATTTTAAATTGTCTGTCTGTCTGTCTGTCTGTCTGTCTGTCTGTCTGTCTATCATTGGTTAAGGGTTTTGTACTAATGCAATCGTGTTCTCTTCCCTCCCCCCATTTTTCTCTCCGCCGTTCTTACTATGGAAAAAAAGCTGCAGATCTGGGACACAGCAGGACAAGAGCGATTCCGTTCCATTACACAAAGTTACTATCGCAGTGCAAACGCATTGATATTGACCTATGACATAACTTGCGAAGAGTCATTCCGATGCCTCCCAGAGTGGCTACGGGAGATAGAGCAATACGCCAGTAATAAGGTCATAACCGTCCTAGTGGGTAAGAAGAGAGACTGTTGCTTGTTTGGCCAAGGGTCAAATCAAGGGCAAATCAGCAGGGGGAAACCCGTAACGGGAGGGAAGTACTTGCAAAGGGCAGGGAGATGATGGAGATGGAGATGTAACTGCTAGGGCAGGATGGACGCCCCAGGAGTGGGCAGTGGTTTCTGGAGGGGAGGGAAGCCCGAGAGCCACTCCTGCACCCCAAAGCCATTTTATTGTGTGACAAAAGCACAATTGACCCAGAGGGTTGTTTTCCACAGGTGTACGAAAACAAAACTCCCATATTTCAGTGCTGCTTCTCTCATGATTCTGGTATGTGACAGAAGAGGGAACATGTTGTAATGTACAGGTTTTGTTAACTCCTTGCTGTCTGTTTTGCAGATTGTCAGGCATCTCTTGCTCTGTAATTCATTCCTGATATCAGGAATCAGATATTTGAAATATAAGACACATTAGTCAGTGCAGATTAGTACTAACACTCATTAGCACAAACAGTGTGTAATTCTTAGGGCTAATCCCCTCCCCAAAAGTGAAAAACTGGTCCTGAACTTCATGTAATTAACAAGATTGAGAAAAAGCTGCTTCTCTGTACGATCTACATAGAGCCATAGAAATCCAAACTCATTCCGATCTGGTAGGGATTCCTTGGGCATCCCAGGTGTGGTGTGCTTCTTTTCCGGGTGCCGGCCATGCAGTCTTCCAGGCAGATCAGTTTCCTTCCATCCTGCTCCTCCAGTTTTCCGTTCTGCTTTCCTGGCAGTCATTTGGCATTCTTTGAACGAGTGTCAGGTTGGGTTAGAATGTGGAAAAGATGGGTTTTGAGGGAAAAAGGAAGGCTGGGGCTTCAGCGGCATTCTGGAAAAGAGCTCCAATGTTAGGGGAAAGCAAGGGAAGATGGATGATGTGGTTTGCAGCAGTATTCAGCAGCACCTGGGCACCTCACCTGCTGCTGCCTTTCTTTCTCCTACCTTTGCTGTGGCACCTACCTCGCTCTTGGCTCTCAGGGGTTTTTTTTTGTTATGGTACAGAAATGGAACAGCTGCAGATGTGAGAGCCTAGAGAAGCACAGACAAGGCTAGGTAAATGCCCCTTTAGCTATTTTAGTTCTGCCTTGATTTCCTGCTTATATGGAATTTCCTAGCCAGGCACTGACCAGACCCTGCACCGGCATATCTTCAGTAGGGTTGCTGTACCGGGTCCCTTCTAATCAGAGCTCATAACTGCCTGAGCTAGAATGCTTCAGAAATCAGTCTGAGGAGAAGACATAATACTGCTGTGGACTGCTCCATCTTGTGCAAAAACAGCTTCCAAAATAAACAGATATATTCTAGAATGATAAATCGATTACTCAAATGCCTGCTGGAGCAAAAATAGCCTAGCTTCAAACCAGAACCAGATCTGAGCTAGTGGTGACCAACTAAAAAGTCTGCAGGATTAGGAAAGGAATTGAAAATAAAACTCCTACTCCTTTATACAAATCTGTGATGCATCCACGCATGGAGTGCTGTGTACAGTTCTGGTCACTGCACCTGAGAAGGGAAATTGCAGAGGCAGCTAAAGTGCAGAAAGGGGCAGCAACCCCTTCTGACTCGCTCTGTTTCTGTGTTTCTATTTCCATGGGTTGCAGTCCAGAACCTGCTTCGGTATCTGGAAGAGGCCATCCGGGGAAAGGATTCGTGGGCCAATTCTACTTTCAGAATCTTAGTTCCTCCTGTCTCCTCTAAATGCTTGCAGGAGTAGGGAAGAATATTCTGGAAGATGACTTTGTGTGCTCAGATCAGTGACTTATTTGTTAAATGCATAGATTTATTTACCTGCTAAATTTGTAAACTGCACCTTTTGCGCCAACAGGGGTTCAGAGGTCAAGTGCAGTTTTCTCCAGCAAGGAAAGTGGTTTTCATTATAAAAAATAGAAAATAAAAGCCATAGACCCATTCATTAATTGTGTTAGTGCTATGGGTTAATGCTGAACTAAAACCAAACAGCTGTGCTCTTTGGGATTGCTACAGTTATCAGTAACATAGGCAGTATATTACTAAATCCATACTGCAGAGGTAGGAAGACACAGAAGAAACACTGAGGTCATTTTTTAAAAAAAGCTTACCCAGTACAGATTCTTTTTTAATTTGGGGTTAAAAATACACCCACCCACCCTGCTAAAATACAAAATACAAATTGATAAAAGGGTGAACAGCCTTCAAATGCAGACAAAAGCTTAAATTGGACAATAATGTACTTTAAAAGTTCCAGATGAGTAAAAACTGCTTTACCTGGTGCCAAAAATATAACGAAGTGCTAGACAACCCTCTCCTGGAGGTGGTAGGGAAGAACATTCCCAAGCTCGGGCACCACTGAAAGGTTTTTGATTCAAAGGTGGAGTACGAGGTGTACAAAAACCGGTATCGGAGAACATATTGACAATTATGAAGCAATGTTCAGCTCTGTTTGCAGCCTGAAATGCATGCTAAGGTAGCAGAAAAGCTAGATGTTACCTTTCCCAGAAGCTTGTTGCGGGCAGTCAACCAGGCAAACTGCATCACTGCGGTCTCTGGCTGACTGTGCCTGTAGCGTAAAAGTATTGAGTGCAGATGGTACCGCTGAAGAGCAGGGAGAGAAAGCTGAAGGCAACAGACACTGGATAGCAGGGGCTTTTCCCTCAGTTGGCTGCAGCGCCCATTCTGCGAAGATGGCCAGCATGGCGCTGCTGGAGATGAAAGAAACTAAGCCTGCCGGTGAACATAAGTGGCCAACTGTGGGAGTGAGAGTTTTCTAAACCTTTCCCCACTCTCCAGATGCCTTCAGAAAACTTTGTTGCGATTAGGAAGACCTCCTAGCTCCAACTACTACGTGGAAACACTTCCCAGGTTGATCAAGTGACTTGTATCCTGGCCTTAAGTGTGTGTTTAAAAGACTGCAGTGGAGTCTGCAGTGGAAGCACGCTAGGCTGGACGCCGGAGATGCGGATGCTGGTTTCCCCTCAGCCATGAAGCTCACGGGGTGACCTGAGGCCAGTTCCTGTGGCTCAGCCTAATCTGCCTCACAGGGTGGTGGTTGCGAGACTGAAACGGAGAGGAGGAGACCCTAATGCGCTGCCTTGGGCTCCCTGCACGAGGAAGAAAGATGGGGTAGAAATGTAATCAGCAACAGGAGTAGTTTTTACTCTGCTCCCTTCCCATGGGATTAGATCGTGACTGACCCTGACCCCAGGACACCCCCTCTCCATGGGGTCTTCCCTCCGGGCAACCCCCTCCCCTTATTTTTGGAATTTTAGACAGGCGGCAGAGACCAGGGATTGGTAGCCCCTCACAGGTTTCATCCTCCCCTTGCAGGGAGCCTCACATTGTACAGACCTGCCTTGGGGGTGGCTTTGGGGTGGCTTTTAATTCTCTGGAGTCAAACCTCATCTGCACCCCTGCTTTCTTTACACAGGGAATAAGATCGATTTAGCAGATAAAAGAGAAGTTTCCCAGCAAAGAGCTGAAGAATTTTCTGAAGCCCAAGACATGTACTATCTGGAGACCTCGGCTAAAGAATCTGATAATGTGGAAAAACTCTTTCTGGACTTGGCTTGCCGGCTGATCAGTGAGGCCAGGCAAAACACACTTGTCAACAATGTGGAATCGCCATTGCCAGGCGAAGGGAAAAGCATCAGCTATTTGACTTGCTGTAATTTCAACTGATACCTGTGGGTCATGACTGTTTCTTCTTAGGAAGGCCCGTTTCAACCAAGGGGGTCCCTGCCACTGCGACCCAGCCTGCCTGGTGGATGTAGTCCAGCTCCCAGTCTGAAGCATGGCAGGCTGCCCGCTTCACCTGCGAGGGTGGTGCAGAATAGACCTTGGTTTCATCTTCAGTTATGTTTTCAGTTTCACAGTAACATGGAGGTTAGGATTCAAGAAGGTGCTAGACATTCGATGGCCTCAGGACGTCGGGTCGCCGTTTTACTTCTTGGAAATGACTTGGAAAGCTTCCTTTGGAAACGATGAATAATGCAAGGTCTCTCTTGCATGACTGGTTTTGGATCTTTAAGTAAGGGAACTGCAGTGCACACGAAGCCATCAGGCAGCTGGCCTGGGTTGCCAGCTCAGCAAACACCTGTACATAGTGGCCCAGATTGGTTTTTAGGGCACAACAATGGAGCAAAGTGTGGGTGTGTGTTTCTTTTTTTGTTGTGTGTTAATGTCTCCCATGTTCAGACACTTTCATTGACACGGAAGTCAAAAATAGAAATGCCAAACTTTGAAGGAAACGGGAGTGGAAATTGGCTGTACCTGTTCTTTGGGTACTAATAGTTTGGTGAACTATTCCCCGGGCTTATCTTAATATGCAGTCTGTTACTTTTCACTCTGTTCTGAACATGCTGAGCAAAAAGTTCACTGATAAGAACAGATTGTGAACAAACCTTTTTCTGTTGGTACAAGCAAATACAGCAGTCCTTTTAACCTGGGTACATTTCATGTGTATTTAAGTGTTGGCAACTAGGAGAGAATTGGCTTTGGCTATTCAAGAGGGGAATTAAGACCCCTCTCTGAAACTGAGCTGATCAAATAAGTATTCCAAAGTCTGCAATTAAAGTCAGCCTTTTCTTGTTCTTCTGCCGTATAGTGAGGCTTCCATTCCCAGTTCATCTCTTGTGGAAGAGACCTAATAAAGAGACTTTGCAGAAGTAGTCCCACTTTGAAGCTCTGGGTACTTGGAAATTTGGCCATCATGCATAGTTGTCTGTTTAAACTTTAAAGGAATATATAGCATTCAGGGCCATGAGACCTGGGCTTGCCCTGATATATATACGTGTCCACTGTAAGCACAGGTGTGATGTGCACTAAGGTTCACCATCTGAAGGCTCTTCTTTTGGTATTCATTAGTGTCAAGAACCTGTCTGAGGAAAATATTGCAGGAGTAAAGCCCCAAGATCAGTCCTGGCAAGCTACTCAAGTAACAGCACTTGTCAGCCAGTCTGTAAAGAATCGACGCTGGGCGGTTTTCTAACTTGGCTGCAGCCCGCTTAGCATTTGACTAGTCAGCTTGTGGTGGAAAGCATTTCTCATAAGGAAGGGAATGCACAATTTCATAGGGTTTTTATAAGTTTAGGAATAAAATGACAGTGCATGCTCCGGATTTATTAGAGATCTTTATTCGGGCTGCGATCCATCTCGCAAAGCTGTAGCTCTGAGAAACGTCAGATTGCCTTCCCTGTCATGTACTTTGCTTGCAGGCTCCCGATTGTAGCTCATCTAATTTGTCTGCTTTGCTGTCTTGGGCTCAAGTGTGCGTGTGTGTGTGCGTCTGTAACTGTTGGTTTGGGCAATTCATTTGATCCAAAACCTCAACATTGGAAACAGTATGGGACGTGTCCTGCCCTCATCTCCAACATTACACCTCTAGTGCCATGCTTGAAGAAAGTGTTGGATTTTAAACACTTGACTTAAAGAGGAACCGACGGAGCAGACATAACCAACTCTTTCTCAAATATTGGTGTCGATGTGCTTTTACCCTGAAAGGAGGGGTGTGACTGTCTGGGTCACTGTGGGCCCACCATGGATTGTAATTTTAGTATTAATTCATTGCTATTCTGTACTTAGTATTAGTTTGATATTTGCGAAAGGGAATGGGTGCTCGTGTGCTGGGAAATGAATGGTTGCCATGCTGGGGCACCTCGACCAGCCCCCAGTACAAGCATCAACACAGATGTGCATTTTACACATTGAAGCTGTCAATTGAAGAGGGCTTGAAATGGGGAGGTGGCACCCAATTGCCGAGGTGGTCCTTTTTGCTGCTAAAGTTTTAAGCCTTTTTGAGAATAAAGCTGACATTTTAAAATAGTGTCCTTATTTCCACCAGCTGCGTACGTTTTTAATTCCAGAAGTCGAAAGGAATGGGTTGAAGCACATGCAGAAGAGAGACCTCGCTTGAGAGCTTGGAGATGGGGAGGGAGTCAGCAATACCGTCATGGATGAATAGGTCTGGTGTAAGATAATTTCCTGTGTTGCTGTATCGGTGAGACAAGCAATGAGAAAAGCATTGAATTCATTTTAAAAGATTTCTTAGGGTCAAGCTATCTTTTGTGCAGGAAATCATGCTGCAAACACGTAGGGGATTTTGGTTTGCTGGAAGGCAAGACTCACTGAGGAGGATGATAAAGCTGGGGAAAGTCAAAGGAGCAGAACAAGAAAACCACCTATGAGATATCGGCTCCATAAAGGAAGTCACAACCTTGAGTTTACAAGAGCTGGGCCGTGCTGTCAAGGACAGGACGTTTTGGAGGGTGCTCACTGATGGGCTCACCGTAAGTTGGAGGTGACTTGAAGGGACAAAAGAACCATAGTGGAGTTCTGCACTTGACAGGAGCAGTCGCCCTGGAAAAATAGGCTGTTCCAGCCTGTCCTGCCACCCTGGTTACAGGATCCAGATAGACCCTGCCAAGCCACTGTTAGCCCTCATCTCTTAATTCTGCTTTAGAGTAAACGCCTGATCACAGCTTGCCCACCTGTTTGCGAAGTTTGAACCTTAAAGGGTGGCCGAAGAGGAAGTTTGCCAAGTGCTGAAAGTCACTGAGGTCTAAACAGAAGATGTAGAACAAAAAGGATTGTACATTTTGTAAGAATGCAATTGGGGGGTGAGTAAGCAGCTTCCTCCTGAAAGTGGAGCTGAAAAATCTCCTACTGAGCTACCACTCAGATTTGACTAAAGAGCAAAAGAAGATAAAGCCCTGCTGGCCAGACCAAGGGTCCATGTAGTCCGGCATTCCACCCACACAGTTGCAGACCAGCTGCCAAGAGATCCCTCGAGCAGGGTAGGTACAGTGGCTCTCTCCTGCACAAGCTCCACAGCAAATGCTATCGCCTGTCATGCCTGTGAAAGCAGAGCTGTCACATAGCTCTCAAGACCAGTAATCATTGCTCTCCTCCATCAAAGTGTCCAGTCCCCTTTTAAAGGAGTCTTTTATCAGCTCAAGAGATTGGCTTGCTTGTAGTCAGCCAGTGAGTTCATGCACAAACTGAAATTTCAGCTTTCTTCTCTTGCTCTTAACCAGTGTTACAGTCACTTTCTTTTTTTAAAGGCAGGGACTAGTTCTCATGATCACCAACAAAGAGGTAATGGTGTCATTTGGCTATGAGTTAGGACTTGTACGGCAGTGCCTGCTACGCTTTGGGGGTCATTGGTTTTCCGATCTGGCAAATTGCACTTATTTTTCAGTAACAAATTTTGCATTAATCCAGAATCATGGAATGCAGATGGGCCTTACTGGGTAGCCTGCAATGTTACCATGGATAAAGCTGCTTTTTAAGGAAAGCTTTGACCCTTGCTTCATCTCTGGAGTGACAGATTTAGAATTTATGGGAAACATTATTTGTGTACTGTTCTTCTTCAGAAATAGTCTGCACAGTTGCAGGAATACCGAACCCTTCAAGAAACTTTAAGGCAGCCAAAAAGAACCTCTTCAGGGCTCCTGTATCTTAAGGCAAACTGAAATCGTGAAATGCATTGTGACAAAAACCAGCTCAGTCAGCAATGTATGGCCCCATAACCATGTATCTTTAGCACAGCTGTGTGTCAGATGTTGCCTTCACTTCCGGCAACTGCACACCACATCCTAAAAACTCCCTCTCTGTTGGTAGAATACAGTCGCTACAGTGATTCCTCCTATTTTATGACTTCCCTTAGATGTAAAGGCAGTTCTTTTGTTCTCCATTTTGTTCAGATCATACTGAGATGCAGTACAAAATAGCTGGTGTTTCAAGGACTCCTGTGCTATGTATTGGTATCCCCGTGTGCTCGATTTCATCTCTGTCAAACATTTACAGGCATGGCTGTACTTCAGCAACACAAAAACTGGCAGTACTTTTCTTTAACACAATGCACAAGAGAGCTTCCTCGGCCAGCACTGATCTTGATCACACTTGTGGCTCAGTTTGAAACAGATGCTTTACGGGGAGGGTGAGGAGGGAGCAAAGACAAATTAATCAGCTTGCATGGATGGTCCTCTTGATCTAATAAGGGAAGAAGAGATAATGTGTCTGCATTCTCTACACTAAGAGGGCAGCTTGTTCTATCTAAATAAGCTTTATTCAAAATGTTTCTTAACTTCCATTCAAAGATTTTAAGGGCCGTGCACAAAAGCATGAACAAAAACCATTTCCACAAACGTGTTAGTACAATGCAATCAAACAAAACAATATAACAGACAGAATGAAAAGCAAATGTGAACTGAGCTCTCAGATCTGATATAAAGCTTTCTTTCTCAACATAACATAAATGTCAGCGTGTTTAACTTTAAAACTGACATGCACGACATAAAGGATGCAAGAGGCAGAAAACACTAAAATTTTGCCTGTCACCAGGGAAGGTTATATTCTTTCCTGTATGTGCCCATTTCTGCTTCTCCAACTTTCTAATAAGGCCTTTGCTCCAAGCATTAATGATGACAAGCGGATGCTTAATTCTGTGGCTGGACTACACCACTACAGATGGTAAGTACATCCTCCTACAACTAAAGCTTCTGTCATTTTGTTTTTGTATAAATATTCCTTCACCCAGAAAACTATGCTCTAGCATTCTCTTTTTCATCAAGACCCAGTGCTTTCTAGACACACACGAACTTTTGTATAAAGAGCTGATCACATCAGCCCCCCAACAACAGTCTGAAGTGATATAACTCAAATAATGCAGACAAGGCTTACTGCCTCTCAAAGACCACCTAGATGCAAGCTATGTGAAATAAATAAATGGTATGGATTACACTGAGGTGTGGAGGAGTCCCAGGCCAAGACTGGTCCTTCATGCTCCCCAGAAGAGCACCCCTTCTTTTCCAACCACACATCACTTGGCTCTTTCTTGGCCTTGGGGTGCTTTGTTCTAAAATGTTGAAATGACTCTTAACCCTCTGCTACTGGTTATAAGAGGTTTAGTCTAAAACAGCCTTCCCCAGCCTAGTGGCCTTCAGAGTCATTTGGACCACAACTCCCAGAATTCCCATTCAGCAGGGCCATTTACTGGGTATTCTGGGTGTTGCAGTTCAAACTGGTCTAAAAGGCACCAGGTTGAGCAAAGCTGGTCTAAAATATGTGGGTGCCTTCTCTACTTTGGCGCAATTTTGCTTGGTGCTGCCCCTTTACCCACAGCCCCACCCACTCCTGGCATGGGGCCACTTAGAGCTTCTAAGGGGGCCACAGGAAAGGCCCACGTGGCCCAGGTACCACGGGCAGAGCCTCACCTGTGCAGTGCTTCTGCAGCGAGAATCTGTGATCAGAGCTGCTAATGCCACACGCTGCTTTACGACAGGGCAGCTCCGAGCACCACCAACGGAAAAGCTTCGTGCACGCCTCTGTCACATCTTCCTTGGGGCTCAGTCCTGGGCATGAGAAGTCCTGCAGTTCCCAGCACTCCCCAGCCAGGCATGATGGCTGGGAAATGCTGGAAGCTGTAGGACAACTTCCTTTCTGTATGATTTTTTAATTTTATTTTTAAGATTAGCCCTGTGCCTGCTGTTTCCACGCGGATCAGAGTGTTATACCCTTCTTTTTTGTATACAAGACTGTGATTTTGGATTTGGGCAAGGGTTAAAGTTTAATTTTAGAGGGAAATTTGGTAGTGGCAGAATCAAAATGATTAGGCAAATACTTTACAAAGTGGTCTTGATACTCTGCTGGTGTGTGTGTGAGAGAGAGCAAGTGCATTTAAGCCCACTTCTGGCTTCTTTTTTAAGAGCACTGGACACTATGTAGTTCAGATTCTGAACTACATAAAATACAGACTGGAGCAAATGCACGCTAATAGCAGTGATATCACATCTTTAAAATACGGAAGGATTGCAGCTTTATCTGTGCCTGTGGATTGGAAAAGCTAATCTGGGATACTGGCTCAGTTTTGATTATGTTCTTATGCTGCCTAAGAGTCAAAGCGCTCCGAGTGTTTGGCTCCAAAAGGCCTAGCGGATGACCATGAGCTGGTCACACTCTCTCTCCCTAACCTACCTCACGTGGTTGTTGAAGATAAAATGGAGTGGGGTGAGGTGGCAAACCCGCAAATCTTATCCTGAACTCTTTGTCAGAAGGGCGAGGGGTGTCACCATTTGCTGGGATGGAGCTCAAGATGTGCAGGGGTGCGCGTTAATGCAAGACACAGGCTCTGCTCCACAGCAATACGCTAATGCCTGCCCGCACAGCCCCACGGCCACCTCCATCCACCAGCCAGGAGCTGTCCCAAGGGCTCTTCCGCAGGTGGAAAGGAAGCGGCTGCGTGCCATCGTGTCGTCTCCGACTTACGGTGACTCTATGAAGGAAAACCCCCCAAAATGCCCTATCCATGACAGCTGTTTAGCTGCTCCAAATTCAAGCCCGTGGGTTCCTTGATGGAATGACAGTTCATAGTCTGCGAGCCTCTCCTTCCCCTTTCCATACCTTAAACTAGGTGATCAGTAATGTGATTGTGGTGCTGGCGGAGACTCCTGCGAGTCCCTTGGACAGCAAGGTGATCAAACCTGTCAGTCCTAGAGGAGATCAGCCCTGACTGCTCTTTAGAAGGCCAGGTACTGAAGATGACACTCAAATACTTTGGCCACCTATTGAGAAGGAAGGACTCCCTGGAGAAGAGCCTGATGCTGGGGACAAATGAAGGGAAAAGGAGAAGGGGATGGAAGAGGATGAGGTGGCTGGATGGAGTCACTGAAGCAGTTGGCCTGAGCTTGGGTGGACTCCGGGGGATGGTGCAGAAGGCCTGGAGGAATGTTGTCCATGGGTTCGTGATGAGTTGGACATGACTTTGCAACTAAAAACAACAACAACAACAACAACAACACGGAGAACCATGCTGGGTGGAACGTTGTAACTCCTGGAACCGTAAGCACTGCACTAGTTTTCAGATGCAGATTGTCACGCAAACTGGGGCCTCGCTCTACTAGAGGAAGTGGCTTATCAGGCACAAATCAACATGCAGTTTGATGGGAGTGAGGCTTATTGAACATGGAGAGTCTTATTTTCAAGAAACCATGAAAAGGATCAGGCTGCAGAGAAACTTTTGTTGAACAGAGTATGCATACCTGCTCAGAAGTGTGTCCCACTGAGTCCAGTGGGGCTCACTCCAATGTGTGTAAGGCTGAAGCCTGGTACACCAGTCCTGTAAAGTTTCCAACAGGGCAGTGAGTATCTTTTGCCAACATGACTACAAGCAGGATGCACCGTTTGGGTGTCAAAGGAAAAGCTCTCAGCTTATAAGTGGAGTTGAGCGTTCTTAGCGCAGGATGGCTGGGTCAATGGTAGTGTTTACCCGCTCTAGTTCTGTGAGTAATGTGCATATAGGGCAACAAAGCAGCTTTACGTATCAAGGCTATTAATAAAAGTCCACAAATGGAGATGGCCATTTAATGCTCAAGACGTAATTCATTGTTTAAAAGTGCCAAAAGGGATACAAACAATATGCATTCATATATTTTTTTAGAGGAAAAATGAGCCCTTTCCCATTCCCGTCACTTCAAGAAAAATATTTAACTAGTGAAATGATGTAGAAGGGGCAAATGGGAAGATCATGTTTCAAAAGAAAGTTTGCATTCAAGTGGGTGGATCTGTGCGAACAGCCCCCCGTCAGGAAGCTGGCAATTATCTGAAAACAGTTCTGGAGACCAGTTTGGAGCATCAGGCATGGGTTGACGTGTGGAAGACAGATGCAACCTGTCTCCATCTGCAACGGCACAAAAACCAGCGGATTCTTTCATTGGCTGGTTGAGATTTGCACTACATTCATGAATGGGCTGGCTCCCAATTCTAACCTCACCTGGACCTTGCCTTTTAGGAGTAATTGCTACCCCTTCTGATCTGATAGAACAACTTGGAATTCCATACTTCAGTAAGTTTTCAGAAGGAGAACACTCTGAGATCTGGGAGTCAGGATTGTTCCACAGCAGGTTCCTCCTCCTCTTCAACTTCTTTCCTAGTGGCTGTATCCATTTCTTCTGTGAGGGGGAAATCCACTCTTCACCATCATTTTCAGAAAGCTGCAGGGCTGGGCAGCCATTGATAAGCTGCTGAGGATCAGCTGCATCTGCAGAAGCAGAGTTTACACTGCTTGACCTTCTGGATTGCAGGAACATGCTGACCAGATGTTTTGAGAGGGGGTTTTTCAAGGAAGAACTGACTCTTTTGCATTTGGCACTGATCCAAGGTAATTGGTTCAGTGGCATTTCATGGAGATTGGATTCTTTCCTCCTAGACAGCCTTACTTGTTGACAGGTTCTGGTACAGGGAGTGGACTGGGAATTTGGTACAAAGCCCAGGGTACCCAAAAGACTGTACTCCACATTAGATATTGAACTGTCAACCGGAGTGCTAGGTTTTTGGTTGAGATCAGTGACCATACTGCATGAGGATAATCTATAGTGAGTATTCCAGCAAGCATCTAGCTCACCTGGCATGGATCCAGATGCTGTACACTTTGGGGTCAGTCTATGCTCCTGTGCCAAAAATGTTTGGGACAAGTTCAAATTTCCTACAGTGTCTTCTGTCCCCCTGGGCCCGACATCAAAGAGATCTGCTGAAGCATTGTAACTATCCATGGGACAGTCCTGTGGCAAACTGCTGACGTTACTTACTCGAAAATTATATTTTTGCACCTTTGGGATCAGTTCTCTCTCTCCCTCACAAGCTTCAACTAACTTTTCAGAGACTGTTGGGGAGCAACGCTGTTCCTGGATGTTTGTGAGATCAGTGATGGCTAAATCACCATTACGTCTACAGTTTGAGTGGGCATTTGTAGATATACTGGGGAGACAAATGGCAGAGGAATGGAGATTCCTGGCACTACTAACATCTTGGTCAACTCCTTCCTTGGTTGACTGACAACTTTCCCTCGCATGACAAGGTTTAACTCCAGCTGGAGAAGAGTGAGGCAAGACAACTGGGTGCTGGCTGGATAGATCCTTAAATTTCTCATTTGCTTCCTTGGATGAAGAATTAAAAACAGCTTCCTGGTGAGATTTTCCACTACTTACGCGTGAAAACAAATTTACTTGTTGAATGGCGAGAATGTTTCTTTTGCCCATTTCCACCTTTTCAGCTTGCTTCTGCAACTTCGCATCCGTCCTCCCAGCCTTGAAACTGCCACTGAAAATGCCTGACTTAGAAGACTGGTCAAAATGTTGACAGAACTCATCAACCCCATTATTGGGAAAATGCTGGCAAGCATTAGCCTTCAGTGGCTGCACCATGGCCTTGTCATTCTCGATTCTGGCGATGAATTCATTTAAACTTTCAGAAGATGGCAGTTCATCCCAAAGAGCATCTGCTGTTGTGTGACTGGAAGATAAAGGAAGGGGACAGAGAGAAGTGTTTCTCTGCAGAGGCAAAGAATTCCATGATTTTTCCAGACCATAGTGATGCTGGATGTCAATTTTGCTGGAAGAGTCTTTCTCCTCTAATTCTGGGGGGCATTGCAATGAGTTAGAGTCTTTTCTTCCTGAGAAGGAACAGCTTGGTGGTTCACTCTTTGCAGTGGCATGGTCCCACTGAAGAGTATACAAGTGACACTTCCTCATTTCCCATTCATTTTTCTTATTGATTATCAGGTTATGGTCCCGGGGGTTAGAGGTAGATTGGCTATCCAGTGAATAGGGACTCTCTCCCCAGTTTTGCTTTTCATAAGCAGTCTTGTTTGAATTTAGATCTGTAGGATCTGCTGATGTTTCTGTAGTGAGTGAAAAGGAAGTCAGCCCAAATGACAGAGGGGACAGACCAGGAAGTCTACTTATGGGACTTAAAGGAACCATACCCAAGCCTGCAGAACTGGGCAAGCTACTGAGCTCTGCACTTGACTGACCGAAAGCCATGAAGAGATCTGGAGGCCAAATACTCCTGGGACTGCGCTTGAAACTAGAACATCGATGCTGCTGAAGCAACTGGATGACAGTGTAGCCCACCAGCTCAGAATCTGGTATAAGCATCTGACAGGCTGTGAAAGCTCTGGCATTTCGGAAGTCATTTTGCAAGGAGGTGGCATCATCTGGCTTGGCAGAATTCTGTAAGAAAGCAAACTATTATGCCTTACAAGAAGTTACTTCTGCACCCTAGGAGTTTTACCCAAGACTTCCAGAAAGTCTAGGCTTTGAATTCTGCCTTTTGCCCTCACTTCAACCCACTGAACTGTTTCTGATTAACAGCAGAACTCAATTTTGAATATGAGTTTTAAACAAGCCAGCTTCAGTATCTTTATTGTGAGTTGACATTAACCAGAATTTGTCAAAATAGATGGCATGACAAAGTATGATCAGGCTTCTGAAGTCTTCCCAGCCACATGGGAGAAAGAAGAGAGGGAAAGGTCCTTTTGCCCAAGACAAGAGTGCAGCTCCTTCATCTTATACCAAAGTGTGGTTTAGTGTGGTGTGTGAATGCAGCTATTATTGTAGAACAGGCAGTCTGGTAAATAAGTCACAAGCATTACTACCCTTCTGTGGCTGGCAAAGACTGAACAGAGAGCTCCATTCCTCCTAAAGCAGTGCAGTGATTTTTTATGTTGAACACAGAGAACTGGACTTCTCTCCTCTCGCGGTTTGCTTGATTTCTATGCTAGGAACAGAGGAGGGATGGAATGCTCTGTCCCTCTTCTGCCAGGCCAGTCAGTTGCCTGCAAGGAATGCTTCATCACCTGTGGCTGACAGTCTAGCACTTAAATATAATGGTGGAAAAGGACTGCAGTCATAAAACAGGCAACGACAATCTTGCAACTGGTTCAAGATTAAGCAACCTTTCCATTTACATGGCACTTCACCAAGCTGATTGGACAACTGGCAACAATGACTGAGAGCCTGATGTTGCTCAGAAACCTGCATAAATATTTACTGAAGCCACATCCAACAAAAGGGTATTATTTTGTCTCCTTAAAAGAAATATACCAAGGGGAAATGAGTTACCTTAACTCCAAATATGAATTTCTTCCCAACGAAGCAGATTTCAACTGCTTCAAATACCACTGCAGGAGTTCCATCCCTGTCCGATTGTCCGGCTTCTTGGTTCAATTCTTCAATGTACCTTGATAAACAATATTGAACCTTAAATGACTGAACAATGGCCTGTTCCTGACAGCTGGAATGAGGTAACAGATCTAAGAATTGCTACACATTGTATTATGAATTGAGAGCTGAAGTGGTGTAGTGGTTAAAAGTGCTCGACTGGATCTCAGGAGATCTGGGTTCTAGCCCCCACTTGGTCAGGAAACCCACTGGATGACTTTGGGCCAAGATCATTACCGTGAGAAGCGGAGAAGGTGAGGCCCCTTGTGTTCTTTGCAAAAGGAAAAAAGGAGGGACATAAATGTAACGTAATAATAAGGATATTGATAATAATAATGGATAGGACAGTGCTGGATGAACGAATAGTCAGATTCAGTGCTAGGAAACTTAGTACACTGAAAAGCGAGGCAGAGGCTTAGGTTACATGAACTGAAGAAGTAGCCTGATGGGGCTTGGGATCCATATAATACATGCAGTGGGGGCTGCCATGGAGTAGGACGGCACCCTGCCTAGTGCCTTACAAGTTGCACAGGAGGGAGAATTCTGCAGTTGATGCTTCTACCATCACTGCAGTGATGAGACCTCGGTATCTTAAAGGAATACCATGGGAGAACAGGATGAGATCACATGAATGTGCTTCAGTAAGACAATTAATTTGGGTTTTTAAAAAATCTGCACCTCCTTCTCCCCGCAAAGAACACAGAGCGGCTAATATAGTTTCTGGGCAGCCTCCCATTCAGACAGGTTTCAAAGGTTCAGACTGATTGTGTGACCTCAGGCTATAACTGGGACCTAAGTTAGTATCAGTTATTGTACCTGAGAATCTCTCTTTTCCTCTTAAAGATCATTTTCAGCTTCATAATACTAACAGCAATCAAGATTTTCGATCCCTACAAAATTAATTTAAATTAAGTAGGCAATATTATGTACAGGAACAAACCAGTGTATTTTAGTATTCTTCATTTGTAACATTTGTTATAGCATTGGTAGTCTCAGAGCGAAAAACCTGATTTTTAAAAAATATACAGGTAATTATGTTCACTGAACATGATTCTAATTTCTAACAAATGGAAGCTAGACTTAGGGAATAATTATTTCTCTGGGTCATCTAATAAATCCAAGGTTCAACACAGCATTTGAATCCAGATTTTTCAGATTCAAGTCCAGCATTCTTTCCCGCTGGAATATATTGGTTTTGCTGACCGTTCAAATTGTATAACTGCACAGATTTAATTGCTCCTATTAATACATACCCACTTGGTATCTAGGCAGCAAACCACACCACAACTGTTTATAGAGAGATAATTAAATCACATATGGACTGGGTAGTACTGGGGGAGAGAGCTTATTCATTCCAGCAAACTCATTTCATTTTCATTCTTTACCTCTGCAGGCCCTTTGCTGTGATTCCAAAGTAAGTATCCAAACAGCTTCCAAATACTGTCACCTCAAACACATTCCGAATGTCAGCTACTTCCAAGGAAAGTCGGTATCTATAGTTTGCTTCCTTTGTGTCACCTGAGCACCCACATTTTAGGCAACTGTACCTGTATTTTAAGAAAAAGATAACAAAGTTACTGAATACTTACATGTATTACAAACACGTACGAGTCTCACAGCAAACATTTACAAATCATTTGCCATCTTACTAATTTACAATGCAATCCTAAGCATATCTGTTCAGAAATAAGTTCCAATGAGTCTCATGAGACTAACTCCCCTCCTGTTCAGTGTGCTTAGGATTGCTGCCTTAGAAAAAGACACCAGGTAGAAGATACCGCCTGGACAGCCATAGGAAAATGCAGGGCTCCAGCTCCATCCTCAGAAAAGTGCTTTGAGGTTGGAACTGGGGCTCTCTCTGCTTTTTCCCACTATGCATTTTTCTGTGCTGGCTGCTGCTCCACAGTTGCAAGTGCGGCTAAGCAGCAACAGCTGGAGTGAGGAAGTGTCCTGTGGAGCAAGGGGAAAAAGAGGGAGGTTCTGCAGGGATGCAAGGGAGCCTCAAAGTGCCTCAGCCCATTCTCTTTACAGGCTGGAGTGAAACACTCAAATAGCCAAAACCAGCTGCTTCCATGTCCTGGTGAGTGATGGAAGTGCAGAGGCAATCCTGGCCTCCAGAATCCTCCTGCCTTGGCAGGAATCCTGTGTTCGGAGGGTTATGGGTGGCCACGCTGGACGGTGCTCTAAACAGAAATCAGAATCAGAAACAGCAAGAGAAACCCACTTTTGTTGGTTTGGAAACAGGAAATCTGGATTTAATTCTCAGCTCAATTTTGAATTTGGAGGCAATTAAGGAAAGAGTGCTTTCTTGTGTCCATGTGCAACACAGGCACAGTTTAATTTCTTTAGGGAGAACTGCTAGAGATTAATTCTGTGCATGAGGCTTACTGTCTGGTTAGGAATCTTTACAGCTGTAGGGACAAAAGGGGAAAAAGGACCACCGTAATTATACAGTCTGCATGTGCTTGTTATATCCCAAATTGGAACTGTAAATTGGTACCAGAGATGTACCCTACCTTGGATTAAACACCTCTAACAGGATTAATAAGAATAATCCTACGCCACTCTCAGTGGAGGGTAAATGAATGAAATAATTAGGCAATTTCACATTAGGAGAATCGTTGTAGCATAAGATTGTGTGAACCCAAATTCTCGAGCCAGGAACTACTGGCTGCTTGTTGCTCCCCCGTGTGGCGAACTACTGGAGTGCAAGTCATAGCTCAATGAAGCACTTTCAAGCCCTGAACGGATCATACCCAGACAGATAAATAAAATAAAATTAATAAAGATTGGGAATTGGATACTCCTGGGTAGAAATACAAGTACACAATCCTCTTGCTCTAGTTAAGCGTTCTTCAAGCGAGTCAGTCTTCCTGACTCCAGTACTTCCTGGAGATTGGTTAAGCTTTGGCCCTGGCTTCCTCGTACATCCTGCCTCCTGGTCTGCCCTCCAATTCCAATTGGCAGGCCAACCCTGAGTTCTGCCTGGCTCCTTGATCTTGTCTCATAATTTTGCCTGTACTTCTGCCTTACTTTTTGATCCTTACTACCAGCTGGTTCCAGGTTCTGGCTCACTACACTCTTGCTCACAGCCCTGCCCTGCCTTTTTCAAGATAATGCTATTAATTTTAATTGAGTTAATCAGCATCCCAAACAAACAGGACTATCAGTGTATTAGGCCTAATTTTAGCCTTCATTAAATTTAATTGATCTTGCCTTCCAATGGGAGGATCATCAATTATTATGAGTAATCTCATTATTGCTGGAAGTGATTGTGAAAGATGTAGCATTGCACCCATATTACTTGCTTCATGGTAGCCAAAGTGTCATCAGGATGCCATATAAAAAGTGATTTCCAGTCAAGTCCATAGTGTTCCTCCTCCAGCTAATTCCATGTTCAACAAAGAAGAACTTCTGTATGAGGTTGCAATACTGTGTCAGCTTTAGTGGCATGAATCCTGGACCCTGATGGCTCACTTTTGTTGCCCGGCAGGTCGCAGTCATTCCCTCGCACTGCAGCTGTGGCCCAGCACAGGTATTCTATACTGTTGTGCCCACAGGAGGTGGGATGGGTAGCATCTAAAGCGTGTAAGGTTGGAAGTGAACACAGAACAGCCTTAAGGAACCTATCTGCTTCGATCTTGAGGTGCAGATCCCCTCCCTAGATCTTCCAATAAGCCAAGATGGGCAAGGATCAAACGAGCAAGTGGTAAGCCAGGCTAGGCCGCGTCATCCGGCCGCAAAGGCAGGAACCCATTCAGCAAAGATGGACCAGATGGTACACCAGGCACCTCCAAAGGCAGGACTACGGTAACTGTGGCATCCAAGTTGGGGTGGAGACAGGCGATTTTGTCCTTGAAATGCTGGGCAAACTCTTCACAGCATTCACAGGGTTCAGCAGGTTTTTTTTGGGGTCAGCTTGTAAAAGGCCCCGAACCACCTGGAAAAGCTCCGCTTTTTGGAGTTCTGAGGATGCAATCTAGCAGGTGTAAAAACGCTTCTTTGTTGCCTTGATCACCGGGGAATAGGCTCGATAATGAGCGCTAAGACGTGTTTGTCGAGATTCATCCCAAGTTTTATCCCTACTCATGTGCTGGCTGTTTACTGGCTTGCCTCATTGCCTCAGCTCCACCATACATCAAGACGCTGGGCAGGCTTGTGTTGATTACCTGGCCCTTCTCTGTGTTCCACAGGGCAACCGGGGCTTTGGCAGGAGCACCAACCATGTCAAGCAGACACTCACCCAGAGCTTTCATGAATCCATCTGGACACATCAATCTCTGGGGGCAGCAGACTCACATAACGGTCCCCCACCCCCACAGAGGGGAAAAGGGCTGAGAATTCAAGCCTCATGAGGAAATGATCTGACCATGACAAAGGGGTTAAAGAGACCACCAGACCACCACCTTCCCACCCAGTCAAGAAAACCAGACCCAGAATGTTCCCCTTTCATGAGTTGGGCAGGTGACATTTTGAAACAGCCCCATGGCTGCCATGTAATCCTGAACCACCCCAGACTAGATTGCCTCAGCATGGAAGTTGAGATCCCCCAGGACTGAGAGGCTGGGGGTCTGCAACACCAGGTCAGAAACGACCTCTCCCAGCTCACAGGGGGGAGACTGCTGAGCCGCAGGGGGAGAGTCCCAACTCTGTCCTGATTTGCCCAATGCAAGGCACAAACACCCAAGAGCTGGACTCAAGTGGACAAGGAGCCGAGTGAGGGAGATGGAACTCCTATGAACTACCACGTTTCCCCATCCCTGGCCCTCAAGGCAATGTTGGTGCTGGACCAAGTACCTGTGGAGACGAAGCTGGGAAAGGACTATCTCATCTGCCTTGCCTGCTCAGGTGCTGGGCTGGCACCCTCATCCACAACAAGGTTATGGCTGACTTAAGTTCTCATTATGTACTGACCCGACATTCAACAGCACCACCAGGCCAGAGGATAGGCTGGCATGATTACCACATATCAATGGGCTGGAGACCAGAACGGGGGACTGCAATTAAACATCTGTCCCTGCTTTTCCTTTGAGGGCCAATCGATTCTCCACTGTCGTATCTCCCCCTGCCTGTGATTGTGCTATATGGTACTGTATTATATCTGGTCAAAGCCATCAAGAACTTTTGGAGTGGAGCAGTGCTCTGGACTGAACATACCTTTTAAGATCTAGGTATAGCTTGGAAAAGCAGTTTTGACACGAAGGAAATACAAAGTTAGAGTTCTGAACAGAAATTACAGAAGCAGTCAGGAGATGTCTGCCATTCATGTGGTCCCAGGGCAAGCTACAAAAAGACACCCATGACATTGTTAGACTTACCAGGTTTCCCACAATCAGAAACATTTTTAAACTTGAGACATATTTTGTCCTTGATGCAACATGGAAGGAAGGCACTTGCTGTGGTGTACCACCATGTAGATTTGCATGAGTATCAACATGTCTGAAGGAGACAGTTTTTATAATAAGGTGTAGGCACACTGAGGTATGTTTGCCAAGAATATGCTATGCGATGCAGGTACAAAATTTATACCCATTCATTTATTATGGCCTTTCCTGGAGGCTTACCGTAGGCAAATTTCTTGAGAATCATGTGAAGCAGTCTTCAGCTGACTGGAAAATCAACACCCAAAACTTATTTGGAAAAGCTGCCATGCTCCAATGTGTTAATTCCCAAAGCATACGACACAGAAGAACTGCTAATCTGCGACAAAAAGACAAGTGAATGAAAACCATTAAAGGGAGAGATCAAACAACCACAGATAGCTCTTCATGATTCATTGCTCTTGATGTACTTCCTTCCAGCCAGCCTCTAGTGGGTACCAGCCAATTTGCCACATCTTTGTCTCGGGTGTGAGTAGCTCATGCAGCTGCACAATACCAATGCGTAGCTTTATATATGGCTGCCTGTTGCAGCTTAGCACTTATCTCCTTCCAAATACAGGCTGTTAAACATAGGTGGTGCACTCCACTGACAGCAGAGGGATTAACAATAAGAATTAATCCAAAAGCTTTCTGAAAAAAACAACACTGTTTTTTCCTCCCAAGATGAATCCTCCAATTTAAAAATTAGAGGAATAAAGAGCAGGCCTTAAGCTGGGAAAACACTGCCCTACAAGTTTGCTCTTGGGTGCTCATTTAACAAATTGATGGAGTTAACAAATTGACATTGTGTGTACTTGTCCACATGATTTGCTAATGCCTCGGTGGCCTGTTTGTTGAAGAAAAACAAGATTAACACCTGCATTTCAAAAATACAAAAAAGGTGTTACGAAGGGTCTCTGCAGTAATAAAACACATAGACAACAGTTGGCCTTAATATCTGCTTTCTAAGTATTTTCATTGCTCTTTGGGGTAATCTAAATTTTCAGCAATTGTACTATGCAAATTCATCAGGCAGGCATAAAAATAATGCCCAATTTTTAACTATACCAGAGATTCTCTCTCCAAACATCATCTCTCTGTAAAGTTAGAACATTTATCAAGGGAGTTTCTCCTAATCTGTTTTACTCATGTTGCCTCTTTCCCCCAAATTCTTACTTTTGCATGTTACACTATATGCCCTTTCTTTTTTCACCTGTGCCTTTCCTCTTTTCGCCCAAAGGACAGGGTGGGTTAGTCAGATGCAAAAGAACAACAAGGATTACTATTAGATGGATACTTCATTCCACCTGATAGGAGTGGGCTCTCATCTCTGGCAAAAAGAGAGGAAAAAGGACACAATGAGCATGTTTGCCCTTAAGGTATACTTTGTTATTGTTTTTCTCTTTGGTGTCTGCACCAACAAGCATCCTATCCAAGCCTCTGTGAAGTACATATTTATAGAGGGAGCTGCAGCCAACCCACAATTCTCCAGCTTCAAAGCAGACTTGCCAAATAATTAAACATGGGGAGGATTTCACCCTTCATAAATTCTGTAGAAGCACCTTCATCCATTTCTGCCAACAATCAGAAGTCAGTGGATTACAGTGTATGCTGATCTAGTGTTTAGCACCTCTTTTGCCCTGAAAGATTATGGAAAATAAAGATTATGGAAATAAAACTGAAAACTGCACATCAAGCATGTCAACCCAGAACTGCACAACAGTGAAAAGTACCACAGGATTAGTCGCAGGTCAAGAGCAGAACTGATTATAAAACAAATGCTATGGACTGCTGGTTCCAGCAGCTGCACCAGTCACAATAGAAAGCTTGGAGATGCAGCAACATAAATCTAGGACTTATGAGGAAGTCATAACACAGCCTAATTTTCCACACATCATGAGGAACTTTAGGGTGATTTGGCAGTCATTTGGGATTAATAAATATGTAAGACTGACACAAAAACTGGGTGGCACTTTGAGGGAACTTTTCTAAAAGGTAAAATGCTAAACTAGGAAGTCACTTGGTGGTGTTCTGTTTTTGTATGCAGCTGTTTTAAAAAGCCAGTCTGGTGAAGTAGACAGAATGTGGTAGAGACCTGTATTCAAATCCTAAGGCACCCAGGTAAATATTAATACATGAAAAATCCATTCATATAGTCCTTGTGATAAATTCCATATGGCAGGTAATTAGTTTTAAAGAACATGTGCATCAGTAAATATTAAAAGCAAATACACAGAATAACCTCCACCCTAAGAGAAGCAACCACCAAGTATTACACAAACATGGAGGGAAGGAAACTTTCAACAGTTAGCCAGATTAGACAAGTTCTTATTAAAGAGATATGGCATCTAAAATGAAACTTTTTTTTACTGAGTAAGACTTAACATAAGATCCATAGGCCCTTCTGACACAGTTGCAAAGTCAATGTCCTGTTGATAAGGCAAAACAGAACCATCTTAATCCCTCCTTGCAGGTTAAATCGTGTATTAAATGTATTGGATGAAACCTGAAATCCATTCTTATGTTGTGGGGAACCATTCAGCCAGAACAAAGACATTTCTTATGCAGCATTTTCAGTGCCTGAGCTTTGGGGTAACAAAAGAACCCCAAATGCGAGCAAAGTGAAGTTCCATATTGATGCCAAACTTATTCACAGGCAGCAAGCTTTTATAAAAACGGATTGCAACTCAGAATAATTGCTTTAAGTTGCTAGTGGCAAGGGGGACTCTGAAGCAGTAAACGCAGCAGGGCCAAACCTCGATGCCAGCTTCTCGTGTCCATAGAAGTTGCTATCCCCCACCCTAACTTACCTCACTGCTCTACTAGAAACCTTACATGCAAGGAGGTGACAGCACTAAGGAATCATGCTCTGACTAGGGCCATTGACAGGTCAAGGGAGGAAGAAACAGGCATGTGTAGAGCAGGGATGGTCAACCGGTGGTCTCTCCATATGATTTTAGACTACAACTCCCATCACCCCCAAATTTCCTCTGCTGCCTTGGACTGATGGGAGTGGCAATGCAGGAGCATACGGGTCAATCTTCCTCAGCTTAGGACCCTCTAGATATTCTGGACTATGCTGACTGGGGATAATGGGAGTTGCATTCCAACACATCTGGAGGGCGCCATTCTGGGGAAGGATGATCTGCAGGGCCACGAGTTTGCCCAACCCGAGTGTAAAGAGGGCAGGGGACCGGGGCCAAGAGGAAATGAACTGGCCGCAAACCGACAGAAGGGCGAAAGAACGGACTGAATTCCCACCTTTCGAGGCCTCCCACCAAACCGCCCCAAGCTCGGCCTCGAGCCTCCTGTTTTCCTCGGCGACGACCCCCTCAAGCGATAAGGAAGTGACGACACCGTCACCGCGCACCAATCAACGAGCGCCATTCCGAGAGCCCCACCGCGCGCCCTGCGGGGCCGAGCGACTTCATTTTCCCGCTTCAGCGCAATGCCCGCCCCTTTATCCCCCCCTGAGCCAATCCGAGTGCTCCGCCGTTTCGCAGTCCGTCCCCTCCGACTCTCAGACAGAACGGAGCTCCGCCAATCACCTTGCCGGAGGGACGGGGCGCCTCGGGCCCGTCGGCTCGCTTGCCCTTCAGTCACGGGGCCCCCTCCCCTCGCCGGCCAATCGCACTGCCTCTCCCCTCACCTTCCCCCTTCGGAGCCGCTGCCTCTCCTCGGAAACCTGTCCCGGCTATGGGCGGAGCCAACAGCGTTCTCGTGCCCGCCCCCTCCCCCGCCCTCCCGAGGCTCAGCTATAAAAGGGGACCGCTGCGCCGGCGGGGAAGACGCCGCTGAGGCAGAAGTGTCTCGCGATGGCCAGTCGCCGGCTGGGGCCGCTTCTGCTTCTGGTGTTGCTGCCGCCGCAGCTCAGCTTGGCCGGGGCGGCCGGCGGCAGCCGGGGCTTCCTCGCGCGCCCTCGGCCCCGCGCGGCGTCCTGGCCGGAGAGCGCGCCCGTGCCCGGCACACACGTGTACCGCACCTGCTACTTCGATCAGAAGGTAAGAGGACGCGGCTCTCCGGACCCAGCGCAGCCCGTCTCCGAAGGCACGTCGCGGTGGCCTTCTCGGCGGGGCTCAGGTATTGCAAAGGACGCAAGAAGAGCCCCGATCGGACCGCGGGTTCGTCCAACTCAGCCTTGGGTTCACGCAGGGACCGACCAGCTGCACACAGGATTTCACGAGCGTGCCGGGATTGTCGCAGCACCCTTCTGCCCATGCTCCCCAGCAACCGGGATGCACGGGCACGCTGCCTCTGATACTGGAGGGAGCCAGTGGTCATGAGGACTAGTAGCACTAGCATTCTCCTCCACGCTTTTCTCCAGACCCCCTTTAAAGCTCTCCAAGGGGTGGCCAGCACTGCATCTTGAGCAAGTGACTCTGTGCTGTGTGAAGAAGTCCTTTTTTCTGTCCTGAATCTCCCACAGTTGAGTTTCATGGGACGATCCCACTGGGTCTAGTTACTAGTATAAAGTATAGTATAAAGAGAGGAGGAAGAGAAACTCCGTGTTCTTCTCCACTTCGTGATCACTTTGTGCACCTCTAGTTTGCTTCCTCTTTCTCTAAGGGCTGTTGTCACTTTTTCCCATAAGGGAGCTGCAACAACCCTTTGATCAGTTCGGTTACTTTTTTCTGCACCATTTCCAACTATTCTTTTTGAAGGTGTGGTGACCAGAACGGTACACAGAACTGAAGGGTGGTCATGTGTAAGACCAGTACAGACTTGACTTCAGTTCATTTTCTCATTATGACTTGACAGCATGTAAGAACAATGCGACTATCACACCTGGGGCACACATTTTCATTGATCTGCCTACCGCAACCTAAGATCTCTTTCTGGTTCAGCCTCCTGCTGGCTCAGATTCAACGGCAGACACATGAAATTGGGTTCTTTGTAATATAAGGTCCCTCTGTAATGATCATCCAGTGGCAGAGAGTTTACTCGAGCCCACTGTAACTTGATATGGGGATGATTGTCACAAACTACCCTGTCCCCCCAAACATAAAAAAAAAAAGGAAACTCCTGGAGCAGTGCAATGAGAAGCAATTTTCAGAAATGTGTGTGCATTTTTTTATTGATGCAGTTACACTCATGTACCAGCTCCTGTGAGGAAGGGCTGCAGTTCAGTGGCAAAGCCCCTTCTTTGCATCCAGACGTCCCCAGGTTCAATGCACAGCATTTCCCAGGTACGGCTAGGAAAGGATTCTTCCCGAATCCCTGGAGAGCTGCTGCCAGTCGGCATCAGTGTTGGGTAGACAGACTTGAAGGTTCTGACTCGGTGTAAGGCAGCTTTGCCTGCCTCGTCCTTATCCAGAAGCCTCCAGGCACTGCATGAAGTGGCAGACACCACTTTGGATGGCTTTTAAAGGGGATTTGACAGAACCTTGCAAGAGGCGGCTACTGACAGCTCCAAGTCCTGATGGCTGTGTGGAAGCAGGATGCCTATGCACATGAGTTGCTGGGGAGCAGGGGCAGGAGAGTGCTTTTGCTCCCATGTACTGCTCTGACTTTCCCTTGGACATTTGGCTGTGAACAGAACACAGGACAAGAATGGTCAGATTCAGCAGGGCTCTTGATGATGATGATGATCGCCCATCGTTTTCGTTGAGGACCTTGACATCTAACGGGTTGTGAGCTGTCCATGGTGTGTCCACAGGTGGCTGATAAGGCCAATTACGGGCACGGAGTGTTCTGCCACATGTCGGGCAGAGGTGTGGGCACCACTGTTGCAGTGCTTGCAACTCTGGCTTTACGGAGTGCTCGCTTCTCTTGTGCTACAGTTGTCCTTCTGGCTTCAGAAGTTTGGCAGCCTTGGTGGATCTGCGTGCGCCATGTCGATCGGTCTTGTGCAGGTCGATAACCAAGGACTTGAGAGAGGCTTTCAGCGTGTCTTTGTATCGCTTCTTTTGTCCCCTGTGCGATCGCTTTCCTTGAGACAGCTCAGCATAGAAGAGCTGTTTGGGGATGCGGTGGTCTGGCATCCTTGCAACATGGCCCGCCCAGCGCGTCTGGGCTTTCATCAGCAGGGTGTGAACTGACGGCAGGCCTGCTCTGGAGAGGACTTCTGTGTCTGGCACCTAGTCCTGCCACCGGATCCTCAAAAGTCTGCGGAGGCAAGTCGTGTGGAAGTTGTTCAGTTGCCTAGCATGCCTCCTGTGTACAGTCCAAGTCTCACTGGCATACATCAGGGTAGTTAGGACTACTGCTCGGTAGACTTTAAGCTCTGTAGCAAGGCTTATTCCACGGCGGTCCCACACTTTGGTCAGCAGTCTGCCGTATGCAGAGCTTGCCTTGGCGATTCTGCAGTTGACCTTGATGTCAATTGTCACTGTGTGGGAAAGGGTGCTGCCATGGTATGTAAATTGGTCCACTGCTTGCAGCTTTTGTCCCTTTGGGCTCTTGATATGTTTAATAAGAAAGTGGGATATAAATGCAAAGTAAATTGTATTTTATACTGCCTTCCTGGAATAAGAATCATAAAGGCATAATATAATGTTAAATACAGCCTTAAAAACCATGATGTTGCTAATAGCTACTTGTTTCCTAGCCTGTGTTGACCACCATCTTCTCCAGATGCTTATGGAGCCGAATGTCCTTCTGCCAACATGCGAAGTTTCACCCACTGGGTCTGTCATCTTTCCATCTGTCAGCTTTTGCTTACAGGTTCCTTGTAGCTCCCATATGCACTCGCTTTGGAGTAAGCCCCATGGAACATGATGGAAATTTTTTGATTAAACATGAATAGGGCTGTGCTATAAAGTGTTAATTGACTGATAGAGCAAAATATGAAAAAGCAGATGACTCGACAACTTAAATATCTTGAGTATGCAATACTGGCCTGCTCCACAGGGCTGTTGTAACAAAGCCAAGATTACTCACAAAAGTACAGATTACACTGGCAGTAATGTGTAAGTGGCTCCTGACTTTTCAGCAGTAATCTCTAGTCAATGTCATTATGTGTTGATAGTTAAGACCAGGATTATCACAAGTACGTTTATTTAGCCCAGTGCTCCAGGTGATGTCATCCTATATATCATACGAAGTTCCTCCATTGTACTGGTATAGGTTATCTAACCATATACCTACTTAGCTCCTCTGTATGCCAAGTTGCAGGGAACAAGCTGATCAAGTTGTCAGATTGTGAATGTACACGCCTGAAGCAAACAATTTTGTTTCCCTTGTGAAAATGAACTGATTCGCTTTGCAATTGGCAACTTCTGAGCCCTGAATTGGCTTGAGACATTCATAAATTCACAGGCATTTATGTAGTAATAAGCATTAAAAAGACTGTGGAAAAGTAAGAGAAATATACAATAGAGGAGAAAGAAGTTAAAACAAGTATGCAAAACGTACAGTAGATAATGTATATTTACATTTAATAGAAAATGAGCTGGATAATAAGCAAAACCATTCAGGAAACAGTGTTTCAAAGGTGAACTTAAGCTACTTCAATTTGCCTGTTTGCTTGGTTTAATTTACTTTGCTTTACCCATCCTGCCTGACATTATGGTTTGCACTGGGCATAACTATGTTTGTTTTGGGCTTGTGCTGTAAAAAGTTGGGCCTGGGTCTCTCCCTCTGAAAATATGGACTGGCTTAGCATGAGTGAAGTGCTTAGCTGAATGATCAACATAAAATGTGTCATAATTAGGGAAAGAAGTGACACAGCATCAAATTCTTAGAACTGCACCAAAGGGAAGATCCCCTCCTATTGTTGAGGAGGTTACCTTCAGTGCAGAAAATTAATCTGCAAAGTGGCTATAGATAACAGGTGAGGTTTGCAACAAAATGTTGCAGCATGGAACAGTCCCTTTGAGTATTCCCGTTAGCTACCCACACCTTCTGTTGGGGTGCTCTGTTTGCAATAGTCAGTATAATATGGCCATTAAGTAAACTCTGGCCTCAGTGAGCTAGCTGTTCAGGATTTTCTTTTGAAAGCTGTTGCATTACTTCTGCAAGTTTTATAGTTCTGCTCTCACCTCTCCTGTGAAGAAATGGAGCCAGTTTGGCTACTTAAGAATCAGTATTCTTGCCTATCCATTTTGGACATTTTAAAAAATTGCCGTTCATTTATTTTTAATTCACTTACATATTTAAGCTGCTTTAAACCTCTTGATGAAGTCGCTTTGCTTTAAAACAATTTTCAGTTGTTTCTGCCTTTACATTATTGTAATGCATTCTGTCACTGGTTTTATTGTGCTTGTTTTTAAGACATGCCCTTCTGAGAGCATTGGTTCTAGGATAACTCATAAACTCAATGAATTAAAAGATGTAAGGCTGCACTGTATATGTGAAAGAAGCACAGATGGGGTTCATGCATTAGGAAGGGTTGATGGCTTTGAGATTTGCGGTATTGTGACATACGTAAGAGTATTCGTTGTTGTTCAGTCACAAAGTTGTGCCCAACCTCTTGCAACACTATGGACAACATTCCTTCAGGCTCACCTGTCCTCCACCATCCCCTGGAGTCCACCCAGTGCCACACCCGCCTCCCCAGTGACCCCATCCAGCCACCTCAACCATCCCCTTCTCCTTTTGCCTTCAATTGTTTCCAGCATCCTGGTCTTTTCCAATGAGTCTTTCCTTCTCATTAGATGGCCAAAGTATCTGAGCTTCATCTTCAGTATCTGGTCTAAAGAACAGTCAGGGCTGATTTCCTTTAGGATTGAATAAGAGTATTAGCTTTACTAATAAGTATGGAAGGTGTGGTATGTATCCCAACCCCATGGTCCAATTTCATACAGTTCCTCTTCCCTTACATTTAAGAAAAAAGGGCTTATAGAGCAGCTGAACAGAAATGGAGTGAAATTCTGATGGCTGCATGTTACTCCAGGGATGCTGAGAAGAGCTGGGTAACAACATCCGTGGTGGGCAAGCACCTTCTCCTGGCAGTCACTCCTGGTTTCAGGAGGGTGGTATGGCTTTTCCAGCAGAAGCATTTTAAACAGGACAGACCTTGGTCTGGGTTGTCCTGCCCTTTTGAGCCAATATCAGCTAGAAT